ATGGCTACTGCAACATTTAAAGTTACATGTGAGGTATATATTTCTAGGGAACAGCACTGTGTAGAGTGACACTCAGAGAGGCTAAGCAACTTGCCTAAAAGGAAGCAAGGTCAGCATTTGAATCCAAGCCACCTGTTAACCATATGCAGTCTCATGCTTTTCAATTGTAGTATGGGGATAAGGATGACACCTCCCTGATTTGGGTACTTGGGAAGCTTCTTGTGGAAATGCCAGGTCTAGAGGAAGGAAAGCCTTATGTGTACACTAGGGAAAATCACTTCTCATCTGTCAAATAGAGATAATATCCTTTCTAGAGCGCTGCAAAGAAGAGTCTTCCCCTACCCACCCTGGGCATTGCTGCTTCCTATCCTGCTTTCCTAGCTTTGTGTCCATACCATTTTTCATCATCTGTCATATATACACATATACATAGATATCTCACTATATTCACAAATATACATAATTGGTTGAGATTTTGTTTGATGCTCTATCAGGTCACCAGCACCTAAGACAACACTTGGCATGTATATGACATTTAATAAGCATTTGCTGAATGAAATAAATGAGGGTCTAACGAGACAATGTATATAATGTGCTTAGCCTGCACCCGACGTGGCCCTTGATGCCTCCCCAGTCCCATCATCTCTGCTCAGTTCTGTGTTTATCAGACTATATTCTGCCCACTAGTAAGGTTTCCCTGAGGAGAGGATGCTCTGGGTGGTAGGCAAGAGGGTACTGACCATTGGAAAGGAATTTTTCTCACTGCAAACTAAGACTCTGCTTTCTGGTTCACACATCAGCTCTGAGAGTTAATGTGATTACCCCAAGCTGACTCCAATCGATGTGGACAGAGTGCTTGGAAAGGGGAGGCGGTGCCAGGACATGGCTGTGTGGCAGTTAGAACTCCTCTGGGTACCTGTGACATCCCCATGGTGCTTCACCATCGTGCAAGGGGTTTGGGAATTTCTGACTGCTACAGGACAGTGGATCTAAGGACACCACTAGAGCTATTAAGCTGTGCGCATGTCCCCAGGCTCGCCAGCACAGCATCCTATCACAGTTACGGAAATTACCAATCTCTTAATGGAAAAGTTGTATCTCAGTGGTTTATATTTTTCTCTGTTTGCCAAAGAACCACTTTTTCTTTTCTGGGAACCGTGCTTGGCCTTTGATCATTGTTTTCTTCTGTAAGCTTGGTCTTTTATGTAATTATTTCTCTGAGCTCTTTATATATCAGCAAGATAAGTACTTCTGCTGGGGTTTGGGTTGCACATCTTCTCTTTTAGTTTGTTGCTTGTTTGGTGTTTATATGTATGTGTGAGCATGGTATTTTTGTTTTTTTCCATGGAAGGTTGTTTTTTGTCTTCACATCATCAAATTAAATACTTGGCGGGGCACAAAACAGGATGAGTTCATATCCTTTGTAGGGACATAGATGAAGCTGGAAACCATCATTCTGATCAAACTATTGCAAGGACAGAAAACCAAACACCGCATGTTCTCACTCATTGGCGGGAATTGAACAATGAAAACATTTGGACACACAGCGGGGAACATCACACACTGGGGCCTGTAGTGGGATGGGAGGAGAGGGGAGGGATACCATTAGGAGATATACCTAATGTAAATGACGAGTTAACGGGTGCAGCATACCAACATGGCACATATATTCATATGTAACAAACCCGCACGTTGTGCACATGTACCCTAGAACTTAAAGTATAATTAAAAAAAGATTTAACTATAAGATTAAAAAGTAAATAAATACTTGGCTGGGTGTGATGGCTCACGCCTGTAACCCTAGCATTTTAAGAGACCAAGGCAAGAGCATTACTTGAGCTCAGGAGTTTGAGACCAGCCTGGGCAAGAGAGTGAGCTTCCTTCTCTACAACAACTTAAAGAATTTTCTGGACATGGTGGTCTGCACCTGTGGTTCCAGGTATACAGGAGACTGAGGCAGGAGGATCTCTTGAGCTTAGGAGATTGAGGCTATAGCAAGCTGTGTTTGTGCCACTGCACTCCAGCCTGGGTAGAGTGAAACTCCATCTAAAAATAAAAATAAAAATAAAAAAGACATGAACACACAGCACTAAACCCCAAATTGGGCTCTTTTGAGCTCATGGATTGCGCGTCCATGAAGCCTACCATGAATAGCCAGTTCTGTCTCCTCCCAGCAACTTGAGATGCCACCTTTAGTACATAGCACAATTTATCTGTGGATTTGTGTATATTTATACTCTTTCCTACAAAGAAAATTGTCCAAGCCAGGCACACTGGTGTACACCTGTGGTCCTGTCAGAGAATCGCTTGAGTCCAGGGAGATCAGCCTGGGCAACGTGGCCCTACGGTATATCAATTGAAAAGAAAAAAAATATACCCTCCAAATATTGCCTGACCTTTGTTTCTTTTTTTTAAATACAGGGTCTCACTCTGTCACTCAGGCTGGAGCACAGGGGCCCTGTCATAGCTCACTGCAGCCTGGAACTCAGGGACTCCATAGTTTAAAAATTTTCCTGATATTCAGATGAAAGTGTGACTGAACTTTATCAGTGTTTCCCCAGAGGATGGTTACACTGTTGTCTCAGTGCCATTTATGGAATAATTTGCCTTTTCCCACCTACTTGAGATGCCAACTTAACCATTTCATTTATTTTTTATTTTACTTTATTTTGGAGACGCAGTCTCACTCTGTTGCCCAGGCCGGAGTGCAGTGGCATGACCTTTGCTTGAACTCCTGAGTTCAGGCAGTCCACCCGCCTTGGCCTCCCAGAGTGCTGGGGTTATGGGTGTGAGCCACCGTGCCTGGCCAATCCATGGTAAACTTCAATGCAGCAATCTTCATATTGCACCTGATTGAACTAAGTGAATGGAACAGTAGTCAGATGTTGGATAGTGATGTACACAGGGTGAACCTGAATGTAGTGATCTTCATATGGCATCAGAGTAAACCAAGTGATTGAAAAAGTAGTGAGACTCTGGATAGTGACGTACACAAGGTCAACTTGAGTGCAGCGGCCTTCATACCACATCTGACTAAGCCAAGTGAATGGAAAAGTCATCAGACTCTGTATAGTGACCTAAACACAGTAAACTTGAATGCAGCCAACTTCATACCGCATCTGACTCGTAGGGTCCAGCCCTACAGTGCCTGTGGGTTTTCTCTTCGTGTGTGGAGACGAGAGATCATAGAAAAATAAGACACAAGACAGAGAGAGTAAGAAAGACAGCTGGGCCCAGGGGGCCACTACCACCAATGTACAGAGTCTAGTAGTGACTCAGAATGCCTGGAAGCACTGCTATTTATTGAATACAAGGCAAGGGGGCAGGGTAAGGAGAGTGAATCATTCCAAGTGATTGATAAGGTCAAGCAAGTCATGTGTCCACTAGAGAGGGGGCCTTTCCCTTTGTGGTAGTTGAAGCAGAGGGGGAGGACAGCATATGTCAGCATTTTTTTAAAGCACTTATCAGAGAGATAAAAGACTTTAATACTTTCACTAATTCTGCTACTGCTATCTTCTAGGAACTTAAAAGAGGCACCAGGTGTACAGGCGGAACATGAAAGTGAACAAGGAGTGTGACCACTGAAGCACAGCACCACAGGGAGACGTTTAAGCCTCCAGATGACTACGGGCACGCCTGGCTGATATCAGGCCTCCCACAAGAGCTGGTGGAGCAGAGTGTTCTCTAAGTCCCCCAAGGAAGGGGAAACTCCCCTTCCCAGTCTGCTAAGTAGCGGGTGCCTTCCCAGGCACTGGCGCTACCGCTAGACCAAGGTCTGCTAAGTAACAGGTGCCTTCCCAGGAACTGGTGCTACCACTAGACCAGGGAGTCCTCAAGCGGCCTTTATCCGGGTGTGACGGAGGGCTCACACTCCTGTCTTCTGGTCATCTCTCACAATGTCCCTTCAGCTCCTGACTCTGTATCGCCTGGTTTTTCCTCGGTTATAATAATAAAGATTAATACTAAAAACTAATAATTGATAATATCCATATATAATCATCTCTATATCCTATGTCTAACATAACTTTCTTTTACCCTATTTTCTTTATTATATTGGAACAGCTTGTGCCTTCAGTGCTTGCCTTGGCACCTGGGTGGCTTTCTGTAGGGTCCAGCCCTATAGGGCCTGTGAGTTTTTCTCTTCATGTGCGGAGACAACAGATTGTAGAAATAAAGAAACAAGAAAGAGAGAAGAAAAGACAGCTGGGCCAGGGGGACCACTACCACCAAGATGCGGAGACTGGTAGTGGCCTCGAATGCCTGGCTGCGCTGTTATTTATTGTATACAAGGCAAGGCGGCAGGGTAAGTATCTTACCTATCTCCAATGATAGGTAAGGTCACACGAGTCACATGTCCACGGGACAGGGGGCCCTTCCCTATTTGGTAACCAAGGTGGAGAGAGAGGGGACAGCTTACGTCATTATTTCTTCTATGTATTTCTTGGAAAGATCAAAGACTTTAGTATTTTCACTAATTCTGCTACTGCTATCTAGAAGGCGGGGCCAGGTGCGCAGAGCAGAACATGAAAGTACACCAGGAGTGTGACCGCTGAAGCAAAATCACAGGGAGACGTTTAGGCCTTCAGATGGCTGTGGGCGGGCCTGACTGATGTCAGGCCTTGCACAAGAGGTGGTGGAGCAGAGTCTTCTCTCCCCAGGGGAAAGGGAGATTCCCTTTCCCGGTCCACTAAGTAATGGGTGCCTTCCCAGGCACTGGTGTTACCGCTAGACCAAGGAGCCATCTAGTAACCCTGTCCATGCATGACAGACGGCTCACACTCTTGACTTCTGGTCACTTCTCACCGTGTCCCTTCAGCTCCTATCTCTGTATGGCTGGTTTTTCCTAGGTTATAATTGTAGAACAGAGATGATTATAATATTGGAATAAAGAGTAATGCTACAAACTAATGATTAATAATATTAATACATAATCATATCTATATTTCTAGTATAACTATTCTTATTCTATATATTTTATTTTTATACTGGAACAGCTCATGCCTTCGGTCTCTTGCCTCGGCACCTGGGTGGCTTACCACCCACATCTTCCCCCTTTTTATTGACTAGGATCGTCACTGCCATCATTGCTTGTCATTGATTTTGGACTTGTCCTCGGACTCTTTGGAGACATCTGCAGACTAAAAGTAGACAACGTAAACATACAGTATTAATAATGCCAATGACAACAATGATCCTCTGAGGGGTTTGATCCATTTAAAGGGATTAAGATCAGATAATTCTTTAGTTACTCCTTCAAAAATGTCCGAGCCAGGAACAGTAGTTAAATGAGCCTGTGAGGCCTCACAAATTTGTTCTTTAAGTTTTGAAATATCTAACATTAAGTTATCATCCCAGGCTTTTAAATGTTTTGAGACTTTTTCCCAGCTATGTTGATCTTTATTATAAGCATAAGCCATTATGCAATAATCGGAAGTATTCCAATCGCACCGTAATTGCATACGGTGTTCCAGACTCATAACTCTCTCTCCCAGTCAGATTACACTCTGGCGGAAATAATTAACTTAATTAGCCAATTTTTGATCAACTTGAGTCTGAGAATTTCAGAGTTTGGTGGGGTTTTTTTGCCATGCTTCCACATATTGAGCGGTTTGAACAGAGTTATGGATAGCAACTCCAGCAGTTGCCGCTATTACAGCAACCGCAGTTAGTCCTGGAATGACTGCAGTAAGAGTAAAAATGAATCTCTTGGTTCTTTTGAGGATATCCTTAAGAACTTCATTGACTATGTATATAGAGGGGGAAGACTCCCATGTATGATGTAAATAGACTGGTATCCATACTACCTCCTTAGCCCCTACCAAGAGAATACTTGTTCTGGGATTAAAAGCAGCATCAATACACATGGACAGCTTACAATCATCACATTATATAGTTTGTGCACTGGGAGTGATAATTATATTTCCAACTAACAGCATATAAGGGGGTTTGACACAGCTCCTGATAGGTATCACCTGTTCTGACATCAAGGAGATCTTGAATATGGGTGTCTCGGTATTAGTAGGAGAGAATTGATAGGTAGCATTCCATATCCTTATTCCTGTCATGGCTGCAGCTAATTTCCATAATTCAGGATGTTCTGGGGTAACAACTGGATGAATCATTTTTGGTCTAGGAGGAATGATTCCTGTGTCCATCCATTTAAATCGATAAGGAGGCACCCGTTCCTTCAACCTGTAGGACTGCCATCAGTCCTCCACATAATCTAACAAATAATTAAACTCCGAGCATTTGGTATTTTGGCCAGAGCAATTCCTCCAATAATACCCTCTTGGATCCCAGTCAATAACAACACCCGTAGCTAGATTTTGGAACACTATGGCCTTTAGAGCATTATAATAATTCCATAAAATTGAATTTGCTAGAAAATGTCCCTTTGTAGGTTCATTTGAGCAGTCTGGCAGTCCTTTTGTTTTACTGCTTTTAGTAGTGACAGGAACCCTCCATTCCTCATGTGGATTAAGTTTAACATTCATGAGTTGGAAAGAATTGCTACTGAACACATATGCACTTGATAAAAATTATTACTAGAGGACGGTATGGTCCACATCCAGTTCTTATAATAAGCTAAGCAGCCAGGGACATTCCAATGCACAGTGGTGGATATTTGTAGCCAATTGACAAAGTGCATACCTTCTTCTTCTGGTTGGGCTGGAAACCTGTCATCATCGGGGACCGGTGTGAATGCACTATTATTAATGTAAACTTCCACTGAGGAGTCTATCCAGGAGACAGACTGAATTAAAGAGGGAAAAGGAACGTATGCCCAGTAGGTATAATTTTGAGTTGCCCCAACCTCTGGTATACTCACCACTGCACTGACCACCATAAAGGCAGCCAGAATTATATTACCCGTCATTTTTGGAATTCCTTCTTCTTTTTTTTTTTTTTTTTTTTTGAGACGGAGTCTCGGTCTGCCGCCCAGGCTGGAGTACAGTGGCCGGATCTCAGCTCACTGCAAGCTCCGCCTCCCGGGTTCCCGCCATTCTCCTGTCTCAGCCTCCCGAGTAGCTGGGACTACAGGCGCCCGCCGCCTCGCCCGGCTAGTTTTTTTTTTTGTATTTTTAGTAGAGACGGGGTTTCACCGTGTTAGCCAGGATGGTCTCGATCTCCTGACCTCGTGATCCGCCCGTCTCGGCCTCCCAAAGTGCTGGGATTACAGGCTTGAGCCACCGCGCCCGGCTCCTTCTTCTTGTAGTAATTTCTCTGTTTGATGTGATAAGACTTTCATCTGGCCCCATGTTGGTAGAGTAGAGTGACTGGTGTTGTAGGTCACACGGCGATATTTTGTTGTAATGTCGAGGTCATGGAGTTTATGTGTCAGGTGACAAACCTTGCTCTTTGCTTTCTGACGGTTCTTTGCCTTTTGTTTCTGAGAGTTCTACATCCTTGGAGTTATAATGCAATCTCAGTTGCTGGGAGGGAACCCACACGGGTTGTTGTCCTTCTCCTGGAGAAACACAAGCGAAACCCCTACCCCATGTTACCACAGTACCTAATTCCCATTTGTCAGTTTTTGCATCCTTCCACCATACCCGCTTTCCTTTTTGTGGATCAAATTTATTTCCAGTGAAATGTTGTTCTGCTGCTGTAAAAGGTTGACTTCTTGCTAGGTTTAAGAAATTTAGTGGAGAAAGAGCCAAATTTAACTGAGTATGAGGGGTAGCAGCATCCCTTTTCGGTTTAGTGTCCTGTTTTCAAAGTTGGTCTTTAAGCGTTTTATTAGCTCGTTCTACCAATGCCTATCCTTGAGAGTTATACGGAATGCCAGCTGTGTGAGTAATTTCCCATTTCTGAGTGAACTTTTTAAAAGCATTGCTAATGTAACCAGGACCATTGTCAGTTTCTAGTTTCTCAGGACAGCCCATAACCAAGACACGTGAAAGTATGTGCTGTTTAACATGAGCCGTACTTTCCCCTGTTTGACATGTGGCCCAGATAAAATGAGAAAAAGTGTCAATAGTTACATGTATAAGACAGAGTTTGCTGAAAGCTGGATAATGAGTCACATCCATCTGCTATAGAGCACTCTGTGAAAGTCCTCTAGGATTAACTCCTGAAGAAAGTGGCTGTAAAATTAACACTTGACAAGTAAGACAGTGACATACAACGGTTTTAGCTTGTTTCCATGTGAGGGAGGACTTTTTTCAGAGTCCCGCAGCATTGACATGAATTAAAGCATGAAAATTTTCTGCGTCTGTAAAAAACGGGAGCAACTAATGTATCAGCACTCGCATTTGCTGCTGAGATGGGTCTGGGAGGGGCGTGTGAGCCGTAATGTGAGTAATGTAGAAGGGAGAAGACCTTGCTCTGAGTATGGACTGAAACCTTTGGAAAAGAAAAAGTAGGTTATCTTCAGGCAGAAATATGTTTAAGGCAGTTTCAATGTTGCAAGCAATATGTACTACATACACCGAATCAGAAACAATGTTAACTGGTTCAGGGAAATATTCAAGAACAGCCATGACGGTGATCATCTCAGCTCACTGTGCTGAAGCAGCTCCTGAGTTAAGGACACGTCTTTTGGTCCTGTATATGCTGCTCGGCCATTACAGGAAGCATCAGTAAAAACAGTGACAGCTTCAGCTAATGGGGTATCTGTAGTAATGTTAGGTAAGACCTAAGAAGTTTAAGGAACTGAAACAGTTTTACATTAGGATAATGATTGTCAAATACACCCGGGAAACATGCCAAATGTACTTGCCAAGAAATGCAGATTGCAAAAGCCTGTTGGACTTGTAATCGGGTGAGGGGAACAATGATTTTAGGAGATGAGAATGAGCTTGACCAATTAGGATGGAAATTTGATCTAGATAAATGATAAGCGTCTATAAAGAGCTGTGTGGAAGAAAGCATTATTCAATTAAATTATGTCCCTGGATAATGAGTCCTGTTGCTGAATGAATGTTTAGTAGGAAAGATTAGTATTTCAAAAGGTAAATGTGCATTCGCCCTGGTTACCTGAGATTGTTGAATGCGTTTTTCTGTAAGTTGTAATTCAGAATCTGCCTCAGGGGTCAAAGACATTTTGTTGCGTAAATCAGGATTGCCCCATAATGTGGCAGAGATTAGACATAGCATAGGTAGGAATGCTCAAGGAGGGGTGAATCCAATTAATATCTCCAAGCAATTTTTGGAAATCATTTAGAGTTTTTAGAGAGTCTCATCTGAGTTGAACCTTTTGGGGCTTAATAATCTTGTCTTCTAGCTGCATTCCTAAATATTGATAAGGAGAAGAGGTTTGGATTTTTTCTGGGGCAATAACCAAACCAGCTGTTACGACTGCTTGTTGTACTGCAGAGAAACAAGATATTAATACAGAACGTGAAGGTACTCCACAAAGTATATCATCCACGTAATGAATGATATAATATTGGAGAAACTGATCTCTTACTGGTTTTCATATGCTCCCCACATAATATTGACAAATAGTAGGGCTATTAACCATTCCTTGAGGTAGGACTTTCCAATGGTAATGCGCTGTGGGAGTGATGTTGTTAAGGGTTCTAACTGTGAAAGTAAAATTTTCAAAGTCCTGAGGGGCCAGAGGAATGTTGAAGAAGCAGTCTTTAAGATCAATGATGATAAGTGGCCAGTACTTGGGAATCATAGTGGGGAAAGGCAAGTTGGGTTGTAATGTCCCCACAGGCTGAAGGACAGCATTTACTGCTCTAAGATCAGTAAGCATTCTCCATTCACCAGATTTCTTTTGGATAACAAAGACAAGTGAATTCCAGGGAGAAAAAGATTGTTCCATGTGTCCCAATTTTAACTGTTCAAGCATCAAAATATGGAGTGCCTCCAGCTTATTTTTAGGGAGCGCCCACTGATCTACCCAAAACAGTTTCTGAGTTTTCCAAGTCAAGGGGATGGGATCTGGAGGTTTGATAGTGACTCCTTCTAAGAAGAATAACCAAGTCCCATAGAATCTGATGTATGGGTAGGTATAATAGGCTCAGTGATGCCTTCTGCTGATTTTCCTAAGCCCATACATTTTGGTCATAATGTCTTTACTCTGCTGGCTATAATTGCCTTGTGGAAAAGAAAGCTTTGCCCCTCATTGTTGTAAAAGATCTCTTCCCCACAGGTTAACAGGAACGAGTGTAATGAGGGGGCAGATAGTACCAATCTGTCCTTCTGGGCCCATACAGTATAAAATTATAGAACTTTCATAGACTTCTGAAGCCTGACCAACACCAACTAATGTTGTGGATGTGTGTCCCTTTGGCCAGTGTCAGGGCCACTGATGTAAAGTGATAATGGAGACATCAACTCCCATATAAATCATTCCCTCAAACTTCCTTCCTTGAATATGCACAGAGCACACAGGACGAGTGTCAGAAATTTTGCTGACTCAATAAGCTGCTTTGCCCTGATAGTCTGTGCTACCACAACCTCCGGTTCTTGTAAAAGAACTGGATCCTAAAGGAATGTAAGGGAGTATAAGAAGTTGAGCAACGTGGTCTCCAGCTGCCACATACCAAGGGACTGCAGAGCTAATGACAATATGAATTTCACCTGAATAGTCAGAATCAATTACATCAGTATGTACTTGAACACCTCTTAAATTTAGGCTTGAGCGACCAAATAGTAAACCGACACTGCCAGTCTGCAAGGGGTCAAAAACACCTGTGGGAACAGCAATAGGTGGCTCTCCAGGTAACAGAGAAATATCTCTTGTGCAACAAAGATCTACTGCTGCTGAGCCTGTGGTGGCGGGGGACAAGCACTGTACTGAGATTCGTGTTGGGGCAGAGCCATTAAATCCTGTGGCACAAATTGCTGAAGTGAGAATTGGGGTGTAGGTTGAATGGATTGGGCCGGAAAGGCACTCATCTGGCAGGAAGCTAGCTGGAAGTTGAGGAATGCCCCATTGTTTGGAAGGGCCTGGGGCCGGCCCTTCTTCCCGGTTCCCTGGTTGTTCAGTGACTGTAAGGGATTACCATCAATATCAAATTTTCAGTGGCATTGAACCACCCAGTGATTTCCTTTTCGGCATCGTGGGCATACAGTAGAAGGTGGGGCTTGTTGTTGAAAAAAATTTGGTTGTCCATGTTGAAAAGGATGGCGGCCTGTATGACAAGGACAATCTCTTTTAGAATGTCCCGGTTGGCCGCATGGAAAGCATTTGCCAGGAAATTGTCCAGGCATTCGAATAGAGACCATGGCTTGTGCCATGACCATTGCTGCATGCAGTTTCCCCCACGCCTTCAAAAGCTTTAATGTATGAGGTGAGTACATCACCCCCTAGTTGAATTTTGCCTTTAATGGGGCAAATAGCCGCCTGACAGTCTGGATTTACTTGTTCGTAAGCCAAAGTTCTACAACAAGGCCGTGGCTATCAGGGATAGCTTGTTTTGCTGCGTCTTGAAGATAGGCAATAAAGTCTGGATAGGGTTCATGTTGTCCCTGTCTGACAGCCATAAAAGATGGGCATACTTTGCCATCATCTTGAATTTTGTCCCAAACGTCCAGGTAACATTTTTGTAATTGTTCAATAACCTCACCATTTAGTATAGTTTGGTTTTGAATTGCAGCCCACTGGCCCATTGCCAGTAATTGGTTGGCCATAACATTAACAGGAGGATTAGAGCCCTAAGACGAATGTATTCCTGGACAGACAGCATCAACCCACCAAGTCCTGAACTATAAATATTAGGATTTAGATAAGACTGACTTTGCTAAAATTTTCCATAGGGCACCAAGTGTTTATTTTCTGCTAGGGCTTTTAATTTAGAATGGACAAAAGGGGAGTTGGTGCCATACTGCTTCACTGGTGCTTTGAAATATTTAAAAGAAAAACTTGGCCGGGCGCGGTGGCTCACGCCTGTAATCCCAGCGCTTTGGGAGGCCGAGGTGGGTGGATCATAAGGTCAGGAGATCGAGACCATCCTGGCTAACACAGTGAAACCCTGTCTCTACTAAAAATACAAAAAAAATTAGCTGGGCATGGTGGCAGGCGCCTGTAGTCCCAGTTACTTGGGAGGCTGAGGCAGAAGAATGGTGTGAACCCAGGAGGTGGACGTTGCAGTGAGCTGAGATCGTGCCACTGCACTCCAGCCTGGGTGACAGAGCGAGACTCCGTCTCAAAAAAAAAAAAAAAAAAAAGGAGAGAGAGAAAAAAGAAAAACTTTCCCAAGTAGCAGGGCATAGCTGAACCTGGCCTGAATGTATAGGGTCAGGTCAAACTACTGCCTGAACTGCTGGAATACCAGGAACTGTGCCCCAGTGGCAAGCAGTTGTGGAGCCTGATTGTTTTCCTGAGCAGCCTGATTGTCAAGACCAGGGACTTGATTCTCAGGCTGTTGATCTTGAAGGACCATGGAATCAGCCACCTGCTGAGCAGGATCAGCAGCCTGTGGCTGATTTTGTGCCACTGGGATGGTGGGTATTGGAGGCTGTAAAATTACAGGAAATTGCCAGGCTTTGGGATCCCCATATTCTCCTGCC